TATCTCCAATAAACCACCAGAAAACCGGAAGTGGCGCTGTAGCTCAAGTGGTAGAGCGCTCACCTTGAGCTGAAGGGCTGAAGGACAGCGCCCAGGCCCAGAGTTCAAGCCCCACGACCGACAAAAAAAAAAAAAGCTCAGGGACAGCACCGGGCTTCGGCTCAGTCTATAGGACTGGCACAATGAATGAATGAATGAATTTCATACTTTTCACAGAGAAAAGCTTCAGATCCAAGTCGATTTACAAACAGAGGAGGAAATCTTTTAAAAGAAGAAAAACAGAGAGCCAAGCTCCAGAAAACACTCCCGAAGGTAACGCTGTTCTGATTTTTTTTGTGTGTTGTGTGGATCAAATCTAGCTTCACACAGTGCCAGAGCTCTACCTCGAGCTCCGCCCTCCGGGCCTGTTTCTATGTCCCCTCCCCCAGAGACTGCCTACTGGGTGGGGTTGAAGCGGGAGGGCAGCTGCCTTGTGAGTGCACCCAGTTGCGAAAGCACCACACACTGGGTGGGCTGCGCAAGGGATGCCAGCTTTGTCTTTGTTCTGGAAGTGAGAGTGAAGGTGTCATTGACAGAGCGGTGTCTGTGTTGTAGCTAGCCTGTCTTCACTCCAGCTGTGTCTCGACCGCCTCATTTCGTCAAACCCCTTTCAAAGAGCCACATTCTGAGGTCTGGGGGCCATGAGGGCTGGACACAAAGGCAGCCTGTAAGAAGACCAGGCTCGCTTACAGACCCTTCATTACTGTTTTTAGTCATCGTATTTATTGATTCGTTTCTGAAACTATTTCATAGTGTTTTATTTATTCCTATAACTGTCACTTTCCTTAGAGATAGATACTAGTTCTGATTTTACAGAAATCAGGCGCTGGAAAGTAACTTTCTCGCAGCCGGTACAAGTGCAAGCTCCATATTGCACCCCAAATGGTTCAGCTCATACCCCTGCTCAAAACGCTGCTCACCTTCCCAGTGAACGCTCACTTTAGGCATCAAAAACTGGTTTGAGTCAGACTTGGCACAACACTCCTATCATCCCAGCATTCAGGAGTCTGAGGCAGCGTTGGTATTCAGACCCTGAGGTGGTGGGTGTTTCCTTAGTGTGCTGGGAAGGAACCCTCCTGGCCTTGATTGTCACTTCTGACCTCCTCCACGTGGGCCAATGTCCTGACGTTGTGCCAACTTTCATTCTTTAGGGTAACCATTCATTTGGGGGTCACACCAAAGTTGAAGTAATTAACACGTCATTGTTTCTGGTCTCAGCTGGAAGAGGAGTTGAAGGCCCAGATTGAAATGTGGGAACGGGAGCATTCACAGTCATTTGTGGTGAATGGGAAGAACTTCATGGACTATGTGGCGGAGCAGTGGCAGCTACATCAGCTGGAGAAAGAGCTAGCCAAGCAGGAGCGGGTAAGTGTGTGAAGAGAGTGGTTGTTGGTGGCCCATTGCTGCGCAGGGCGGGGCCTGAATAGAGCTCCCGTGGCCCAGGCTCTGAGAGGTCTTTGGGGCCTCACCCTGGCTGCCCCTTACTTTTTCACACAGCAATTAAAGAATAAGAAACAGACGGAGACGGAGATGCTTTATGGCAGCGCTCCCCGCACACCCAAGCGGAGAGGACTCACCCCCAACACAGCTGGCAAAGTGCGCAAGGTGAAGCCCTCCTTCTCCCTCGGGCCCCAAGGCCCTGTGTGGCCTCCCTGCTCTGTCCACGAGTCTAGTTTCATGGGGGGGGGAGGGTTCCAGCCCCAGCTCTAGTGTGTGCCGGGCTTAAGTTCTTGGGTTAAATGCAGTAAGGGGCCAATGGTTTCCAACACGTTAGGATGAAGAGCCCTTCAGATGTTTCTCTTAACTACATTGATAGCTCTGGACAGGCAGGATTCCTTGTCAGCTGCTGACAGCTTTCCTATTAATGAACTGAAAATAATCTAAAGTGTAAAGCAGTTGGGGCTGGGTGTGGCTCAAGTAGCAGGGAGTGGCCTGCGTGGGGCGCCTCATCTCTGGGGTTTAGAGCAGCAGCTGCAGGGGCGGGCCTGGGCACAGGGGGACCCACCTACCCACCCACTCGTTCTCACGCTTGGATCTTTGCTTCTCCTTAGCTGAACTCGGCCACCATGTCCAATGCTACAGCCAACAGCAGCCTTCGGCCCGTCTTAGGGAGCACGATGTACCGCTCCCCAATGTCTCGCCTTCCTCCTTCTGGCAGCAAGGTCAGTACACTGTAGGACATCTTCACATTCACCCAGAGGCCCGAGAGGTGGGGTTGGCAGATCACTGTGCTGGGGAAGCTGAACTTGGGTTGGGCTCACCCCCACGCAGCAACAGTCTCAGTACAGTCACGCGCTCAGGAGAGCAGGGCAGAGCGGTTCTGCTAAGCTGGCCAGGGTGAGTGTGCAGAAGTCCACTGAGCAGTGTAGGGGTTTTGTGCATTCAGTGTAAGTGATTTATGGATGTCTTTCCCAAAGTCTTTCCAGCCAGTTATGTCTTCTACCTGTTCCGGGAAAAAAACGCCTCGTGCTGGCAGGCATGGGGCCAACAAGGAGAACGTGGAGCTCAACGGCAGCTTCCTGAGCGGTGGGTACCCTGACTCGGCCCCCCTGCAGCGCAACTTCAGCGTTAATTCTGTTGCCAGCACCTATTCTGAGTTTGCGGTAATTCACTTTTCTAAACTCTACCAGTCTCTGGGGAGCACACAGTTGGGGCACAGTAGGCGTCTTCCCAAGGACCCCCAGGCTGTTTGGTCAGGACAGGCAACCTGGAGGCCTACCCTTCCTTTCCTGCCTTGATGGTGGTGAGGATGGGTGGCTTGAAGGCTGCAGACCAGGTCCTGCTTGAGCTACACTGCTCCCTGGCTGCAGGGAGACCACATTTCACACTGCCCTGGTGCTTGCTTGGTGTGGAGTTCTTGGTAATTGTCCTCGTTCTTTGTTCTTAGAAGGAGCCAGCCCTCTCTGACAGCTCTGCTGTTGGGCTTCAGGTCTGTATAGCAATTCCCGCATGCCCCACATCCCTTTTCCAAACTGATCTGTCATCTGCCTTCACTCCCGTCTGGGCCACGAGAACACTAACCACAGACACTTTTTACACAAAGGAGGTGACCGTGCTTACGGTGAACACAGAAGGTGAGTGGCTCGCGTTTGCTGTCGGCTGGCGTGGGCAGAGCAGTAAGGAAACCTCAACTGCATTCTCAGCCCCACTCAGTGGCAGGCAGTCTCAGACCTGAAGCTGTAATTACACACAAAACAAAAGCCTTCACCCTCTCCACCTGGGATGTGCTGACAACGGGAGGGAGGCCCCAGCTGTGCGCTGCTGATCTTGAGGCTCTTGGCCTGCGTGCTGCTTATGCCAGAGTCTGCACTACTAACCCCTCGGCGCTGGGGGGCTGTTCTGTCTACTGAGGCTGCCTTCACTCAACTCCAGCCCTGGAGCCCAGGCTGCCTCACCCTCCACGGGAGACGGTGAAGCCCAGGCTGCCTCCCTTGCTGACCCTAACTGCGCTTGAGATGTGGTCACCGGTGGGAGGGGCGCACATGACAGGGCAGGGAGCAGATTGCCAGGAGGGCACAGCCAGAGCCCGCTCACTTCCTGATGGAGGGCTTGAACACGCCGCCTCTCTGCCGGTCTTCGATGTTCACACTAACTGCTCGCGATTGATTGTCCTTCCTGCCTTTTCTCCTCTGTCTGCATGGTGCGCTCAGGCAGGAGAACAAAGCACCAGCAGGCCTCAAGGCCCTCACCCCAGCGGTCGGTAGACAAACAGCCTGAGCTGGCCCACTGGTTTATCAGGGGCTCAAAGTAAAGCCTATCATGTAGCTTTGGAGAGGGGTTTTCTGATGGGGAGTTTAAGAGCATGCCCAGCTGTGGCAATCAATGGGAGCATGCGTGTGCACGCGCTCAGTCTGCCTAGTGGAGGGTGAGGGCCGCACCTGCCGGTCCTAACCTGAGATCACTTGCTTTTCAACAGCGGGAACTCTCAAAAGCCTCCAAATCTGATGCTGCTTCCCGAATCCTCAATTCAACCAACATCCACTCCTGAGGAGCGCTGACCGTGTGGCCGGCCCTGCATTCCCATTCCTGGACTGGTGATGAACAGGGGAACCCAGACAGGTTCTAGGGATGTGAGTGGACGGCCACAGGACTAGGTTTCACCCAAGATCCTGTAAAACCTGGTCACGCCGGAGTACAAACGTAGTATCTGGGACTTCTTTTTCTGTCCCGTTGTTCTTACTAGAGCATGACCGAGAGCTTGTTATCATAGGTACATGAAGTAATTTTCTGGTTAGCTTGTATAATTAGTAATTACCATGCTTGTTGTATAATTAGCAACTTATTTGACTAATTGTGTAGCTACTGGTAACTTTGCTGTCGCCACACAGTCTACTGAGGGGAGGTAGCACGCCACACCGACAGTGGGTTCAGCGCACCCCTTCCATCCAGCAGTCAGCAGCTTTGCACACGCTACCCACTAGGGAGCTGTTCCTGCACTTGCACCCAGGGGTGGACCCCTCTCCAAGCACTACTATTTATTCCTGCCCTGCCTGCACTAGTGCTGTCAGCACACCACCTGCTTCCCGAAGGCTGACCTGGTCCATGATGTCAGCCTCTCTAGTGAGAGGTATATAATCTTGTTTTAATAGATATATATACACATATGTTTTAAAATAAAATGTATATTTTACCTTTCAAAAATACACTGTGGTGATGTCACTTTTCCCCAAATCAGTTATTTGTGGTGGTTGGCTTGTGGACTAAACCAAAAGGATATAAACTTGCTTATGATTTTTATATGCCCACAATTTTCCTTAAAAGGATCAGGTATGATGGCACACACCCGTAAGGCCAGCACTTGGGGGGGGAGGGGAGGTCTGAAGCAGGACAGTTGTGACACTGACAGCACTCCAGACAATGCATGAGAACCCTGTCAAGAAAAAGGAGCCAACATTTCTTCCTGAGCTGAGCACTGGTGGCTCATGCCTGAAATCCTAGGTACAGGCTGAGACTGCAGTTCAAAGCCAGCCTGGGCAGTAAAGTCTGGGAAACCCTTATCTCCAGTAAAGTCTGGGAAACCCTTATCTCCAATTACCCACCAAGAACTGGAAGTCGAGCTATGGCTCAGTTGGTAGAGCACTAGCCTGAAGCACAAAACAGGGTTAGCACCCAAGCTGAGCTCAAGACCCAGGACTAACACCAAAAAAAAAGGGGTGGGGAGGGAAAGGTGCAGGCCCCAGAATGGGCTGGGAGGGTGGCTTGCCTTGCATGCATAAGGCCCTGGGTTTGATTCCTCAGCACCACACATGCAGAAAAAGTTGCAAATGGTGCTGTGGCTGAAACGGTAGAACACTAGCCTTGAGCTGAAGAGCTGAGGGACAGCGCTCAGGCCCCATGACCACTCCCTCCCCTCCCCCAAAAAAGGCCCAGACACCTTACATTATCACACAGCTGATTGCATGCAGATGTCCTATAATAAAAGCTAGAAATGTGAAAAGAATGTAAGATTCAAATGTTAAATCATCCAAAGAAACAGGCATGAGTCATTGAAAGAAAATATAAATATCAGCTAAATAGAACCAAAGTTTGGAGATGTGGTTCACCTGGTAGAGCACCTGCCTAGCAAGAGTTCAAGCCCCATGACCGACCAAAAAAAAAACCCCCACAAACATCAGTAGCTTTTCTGCACACTAGTGAGCAGACAGGAAAATCGGGAAAACAATTCCATAAAATGTGCAATAGCCAGCCGGGCGCTGGTGGCTCACGCCTGTAATCCTAGCTACTCAGGAGGCTGAGATCTGAGAATCGCGGTTCAAAGCCAGCCCGGGCAGGAAAGACCGTGAGACTCCTATCTCCAATAAACCACCAGAAAACCGGAAGTGGCGTTGTAGCTCAAGTGGTAGAGCGCTTGCTTTGAGCTGA